GGTTTGCTGTGGTGCCATCTTTGTCTTCTGTATGAAACACCTAGGTAAAGCTCAGTGGAGTTGCCTTCATTACTGCTGCTGGGAGATGTCTACACTGACACTTCCCTGCCATATTGATACAGGTGGTACTAATATAAATATTGGTGCCAAGGGTCTCTTGCCACTGCCAATACTGCTGGTGTGGTATCTACTGACTATGCAAAATATTGTCAACAGTGCTGCTTATATACAGCTCCTTTATCCTCTGCTCATTTTCCATCCTAAATAGATCTCTTTAGTTTTATTTCCAGCAGGCCTTAAAATATGCCCAGTCTTGCCCGTATAAAGGCTGTTTAGAATCAAGCTTGGATCTTACAAAGATTTTGGGACAACTGTATTGCCATTCTTCATAAAAGTAAGAGAGGGAGGGGGGACCCCTATTACTGTGTATATCTGAGATAATATAATCTAGTTTGAACTTGTTCATGGAGCTGAAGATAAATGTATCTTTAGCAACCATTCATTGAATAACCTATTCTCTATAATTTTTTTTTTTTTTTTTTTTTTTTTTTTGCCGTTCAGATACGTAAACAGATCTGTGCTATATTGCTGTCTGGTCTTATATCAATTCTATTCTATACATATGAACAAATTCAATTTAGGCAATGTTTAATTCTAGAGATAATTTGTTCCCTTTGGAATGTGTATATAAAAACTTTCAAATGCTGTAAACCCTTCCTTCCTTCTTTTCATCCCTTTTTCCTTCCTTCTTTCCTTCCTTCCTTCCTTCCTTCCTTCCTTCCTTCCTTCCTTCCTTCCTTCCTTCCTTCCTTCCTTCCCTCTTCCCTCCCTCCCTGTTTTCCTTCCTTCTTCTCTTTCAACAATTTTCTATGGGTCTCTCATGTTTCTGAATGTCTTGTGAGGAAAGGCGTTGGGCCATCTTTGTTCTGGACTATTTTCTCAAGGATGTTTGTTAGCAAACAGCCTTGGAAGATGGAGGTAGTGTCTTCCTATGGAGGAAAAAAAGCCAACGTTATTTACTGCCCAGTATCATAAAGATAATGACTTTCTTTGGGGTGAAAAATTGAAGCAGGCTTACTGCCCATCATAAAAGATTTGGGTTTCCCAAGCTCAAGGATCCTCAGCTGTGAGGCAAGCCCACTGCTTGAGCAGTATCCACTTGGAGCCCTCTGGATTGCCTGGCAGAGGTAGAGGCAAAGGGAACTGGCACGAAACATGATCTTTAGGCTACTTTCTGTGCCTTGGTCTTTGACCCAGGAGTCTTGTGTCTTCTGCCAGCATCTGTGGAACTGTGGCAGGCTAATTTATTAGCTTACAAGTAAGGTAAAACCTCAGACCCTTCACAGTTTCTGATTCTGTCTTCCCAGCATTAAGATTCTTTTTGAAGAATACCAAGTCCATATGAAAGATTTTATAAATAATAATGCATAAGTACAGATTCATTAGTGTAGGCTGTTTAATTGTTGGCTGATTTCTGTTGGAAAATCTGTGACAAGATATTCACAGATCATATTTTCTGAGAGTTTCAGTTTTTGACAGGTTGATCTTTTAAAATATTAGGTTGTTGAAATTCTTATTTTCTTATTAATCTCCTATTAATATTAAACTGCATTGGAACTTTATCTTCCTAAAATACATATATAACTCATAAAGTTACACACAGTATTTTAAATATTTGAAGTCATCCATGATAGTCTATTTTATCTCCATGAGTCTCCTATATGAGCTAAAATTTCTCCAGTTGCTTTAAGTCGCGTAGTTTTGAGTCTGATCACCATCCTATACTTTCCTCTGAAAAAGTTTCACTATAAAATGTGGCATCTCATTTTTCTTTTCCTCCTTTCCTTTCCTTTCCTCTTTCCTTCTTTTCTCTTCTTTCTTTTTCCTTCCTTCCTTCCTTCCTTCCTTCCTTCCTTCCTTCCTTCCTTC